AAGCAACTATCACAGGCCAGCGCAATGCGTGAGAAGGCCAAGAGGTACTTCAGTCAGTAGTAATTTACCTTTAAGGGCATCGCTTCTACTTGTCCCGGAAATGCAGGCAAGGACTTTTGGCCCAACTTACCAAGCGGACACCTTGAGTTCGGCGGGAACTTTGCAACTGGGGAAGGCTCCAGCACAATTCCAGGTATTTGGTCTACTGTCCATACTTCAGCATATTATAAAACTCAACAAAACGTAACACTGGCGATTACAAAGCGACCCTCTTCCTTTCAGTTCTGCTTGACTTTTGTGTTTAGATTTGTCGCTAGTTTTAGGAATCGATAAGTAGGTTCCAACCTCTTTACCAATCATTCCTGCAAACCCTACGATACTGCTGCCTATAACGTACAGTATATAGGCAATTTGCCTCGTTCGCTCTGCCTCATCCTATTGCTATCGCAAAAAATAATAGTAGAGCACGCAGCTGCCAAGTCTGGTGTAATATTAAATAAACTTTGCACGAGATGCTCATAACTACAGTGTTATTATAGTAAAACCTTAAGCACAACTGACATTGAAGTTAACAAATCTTGCAGCAATGCATCTTGAGTGCTTTGTACACTGAGTCTAATTCTCCAGGAGATACTTCATAAACCGTCCCAATTTTAAATGGATCTGTCTCCCTCGAAGCAAGTTGCAACCAGGGACGCGAATGCAGTTCTGCTTGTCGCGTGAGAGTTGTACCGATATTCTAGGTTTAATAACCTTACTAAGGACATGTGGTCTATGATGGCAGTACCCAAGGAGATGATTTAGCGTCGAGTAATCGCCCGTTAAGACTAACGGCTGACTGAGATTTTATCTGCGTGATAATAGCTTCGCTCACTGATACCTCATATGGAAATGGAAATCACCCACACGCTAGAAAGCACTGTGCGGCTAATAACTCTCCCAGGCAATGTCTCATCACTTAATATGGAGAAGGACGAAAACTTACGTTTACTAGTAGACCGCCAATCAGAGAACCATGTATTGGTGTAACCGAAAATTCGGTATACTAGAATAACGCGTACGTCAAGTCAAAATGGAAACCTAGTTGGGTTTTGTACGGCATTGTTCAAAGATAATAAAGAAGGTACAAATTCCGATAGTGTATACCCGCATAAAAAAAAATGAGCCGGCTGACTCCAACACTTCAAATGTGCGTTCGCCAGTTTGGGTAGTGTCTGAGCACGCAATTATTTTCCCTGCGAATCAACCCAGGCATTGCTTCGGAATATTAATAACATTGCTGCATTGCGTCTTTTCTCCCATAGTTCCGTCCAGGACACCAGGCCCCGGTACTTTCCAACACCCAACCAACTACCCAAGTCATGGGCCCTCTCAGTTACACTGACAAACAAATGCTGGCCGTGGTCTTTCCTCCACAAACAAGGCCGAAGAACATTCCCGGACAGGAACTAAAGCCAGCATCCGAGGGCCCCGGCGTTATGCTTAATTCTCCTAACAGTCAAGCGGCCAATGAGATTAGTCAGCAGGACTTCAAAAATTTCTCCAAATGCCTGATGGGTTATGCTAATGTCGGTGGAAAACTGCCCACGGGTGAGCATACCTATCTGGCTAAGTTTTACTTGGGTGGCATTCAATAAAATTCTACTGGATATGTAACACCACCTACCAGAACATTCCGCCTGAATTGGGCTGTTTTATCAGCAGGAATTAACCCCAATTCACCTTGATCATGTCAGACAGCATGTAGCAATTTCTTTGTTTTCGCATACAAAAGCCGCTGGTTTCCCCACAAAGAACTAAGTAACTCTGGGCAAGACAGGCAGGGTCGCAGTGCCATTATTGACTGCGTATACAACCTCCGAAGCTTCGGTTGTTGTAGTGCTTCGTTTGGATATTTTCCTTTCAAAGACATATTCCTGGTGAAGGCGGTACATTATATAGACTGTCTCTGCCGATACAATCGAACATGTGAGTCCCAGGAAGCAATTGATAAGAAGAAGACTCGATCGCTGGGACAATAAGTTTATTCGCCTGACGTTTCGATATTCGTCGCGGATTCATAATCAGAGACATGAGTAGGAAACAATAGCAGAAACGGGTAGTGCATGCACAGAAGTTTGCAGTATTTATAGGATACAGTCATTACTG